TGTACCAGGAAAGTGACTTGTGACTGGGCAGACCTTCTGGCTGCTCACCCAATATGAATGCTCTGTTTTTCATAGTAATGGGGTTTGCAGCAATGTTCCCATGGAAGGGCTCATTTGCAGGATGTGGCAGCCAATTGTATGAAAGAGAAGAAGGTAGCTAGATGGTGCTCTTTTTAAAAAAGATTTTTAAATTTTTATTGGAAAGTCAGATATTATACAGAGAGGAGGAGAGACAGAGAGGAAGATCTTCCGTCCGATGATTCACTCCCCAAGTGAGCACAACGGCTGGTGCTATGCTGCTCTGAAGCCAGTAGCCAGGAACTTCCTCCAGGTCTCCCACGCAGGTGCAGGGTCCCAAGGCTTTGGGCCGTCCTTGACTGCTTTCCCAGGCCACAAACAGGGAGCTGGATGGGAAGTGGAACTGCTGGGATTAGAACCGGCGCCCATATGGGATCCCAGTGCGCTCAAGGCGAGGACTTAAGCCGTTAGGCCATGGCACCAGGCCCCTAGATGGTGCTCTTTTAAAGGGGCTCCTTTACAAAAGCCCCCTTGCTATTTGCCTGGAAAAGGCTGTGATGGCCTGGAAGGGGATTTGGGTGCAAGGTGGTCATATGGAGGGACAGTGGTAACTCCCACACCTGCTCAGAGCTGTTCCTGCCAGATGTTTTTATGGGCGGTTACACAACTTCTCTCTTGATAAAAACAACATTATTAAGGATTTCTGTTAGATGCAGTTGCATCCAAATTTTACCCATTTCTTCAAAGGACTTTGGGTTGGTTGAACAAAGGATTTTAGTTGGTAGAAAAGAGGTCTTTGGACTGAATGAATTAACATAAGCAGAGGTGGAGAAGTATGAAAGCCGTGTTTTCTGAAATACACGTAGTTTGGTGTTTTCCACCAATAGTATGGTGACTTCCAAAGGAAGAGGTGGTGTAACATTCCCCAGGAACTCCTTAGGGAAAAAAATGGACACAGCGTGGAGGCCTCTGCTCTCCCCTTTCATGCCTGTTTCATTTTGTTGGTTACAGTTACTTGAATACTGACCTTTCGACTTTGCTCTGAGAAATTAGTCCATCTTTTGGTCCTTTCTGTATTTCTCAAGGCTCACTGTCACAGAGCAGTTTAGGAAATGTGGACCTAGGGTGATGTGAACGTTTCCTTTTGTGCAAACGTTCAGTACAAGTTGATTTGGATCCCAGTCTTTCTTTTGAAAACCCATACTTGTGCTCTTCTTCAAGGGCTGGCTGGAATCTGGGTCAGAACCAGAACATTTCCTTGGGGGAAGGGAAGTGCTGGGAGACGGGGGAAGAGGTGGAGTGTGATGTATTTGAGGGGGATCTGCTGTGGGGAAGCACAGTGGGCAGGACTCAGTCACCACTTGCCCTAAAAAGCCAAGGTTTGGAGGAGGTGCAGGCTCTGTCATTCTGAGTGAGCCCCATTGTTTCAACATTATGATCTCATCCCTTCAGTGGGCAATCAGAGAAATGAAACCACCTCTACATTGAGTCAGACATTAACTTGAAATGATTCTGGGAAATAATCTTTGCTCTTTGTGATTGGCTTCCTGGTATCGCACAGTCCTTCAAGAAGGACTGTCTCCAGAGGAATGTACCAAGGCGTGTGGTTCAGAGATGCGCTTTAGCAGCTATGACTGTTGCTCACAGGGCAAGATCCATCTTTGTATCACAGGTTTTCAAAAGAAAGTTTTAATCAGAACCCCCATGTCTGATTGGTGTAAAATTTCAAAGCCAGACCATTATTTGCTGGTGTTTTTTGAAGGAAGTGGCTGGAAACTGGCTCTGCTGGTCCTTGGTGCCTTACCCCCTTAGAGATGATAAAAGGGCCAGATTTGGGTCTGTGGAGAACTTCTTTGGGGAGAGGCATTACGCTGCTGTAATTGCCTCTCTCCACATCCAGGTGTCAGGGTCCATGAGTCCCTTCACCTGGGAAAGGTATTCCATGTGGTCTGGAGAAACAAGGGCCAAAGCAAAAGAGGACAGAGTTGGGCAATGGGGGCTCAGAGGAGAAGGCGGGCAGCAGGATAGAGCAGCTGGATTAGGATGGTACCCTGGCATGGAGGATGAGGTATAGGCTGCTAGGGAATGACATCTGCCAGATCTGCTTCACGTCCTGTTCAAGGGAACCCTGGAAGGGAGTTGGGTATGTGGGTGATCATGGCTCAGGGCTGAGGGTCAAAGCCACCCTGGGAGTGGACGATGACATGGGAGATCACAGGGAGAGGGCCTGGTCATGGTGGGTGGTGCCCTTGTCTGGGTCTTGAAAGTGAGTTCATCCAATATGGTGAGAACTGTCCTACACCCTGAGCTGTTACCCCCAAATCCTTTCCGGCCCAGGGACATCTAAAAAACAGCAACCAGGGAGAGAGAAGGCAGGTAAGTGAGGCAGGAGCAAGTGGTGGCCATGAGCCTTCATTCCTGTCCACAAGGAGCTCAGATGAGGTGAGTGTAAATGGCAGAGAGCAGGTAGTATCCTAACTCAGGCCCTGGTACAGGAAATGTGGGAGAAGTGGGAGAAGAGTGAATGGAGAGTGTAGTTGCAGTGTTGATTACAATGGAATAGAGATGATGTGTGTTTTGACTTAAAGAGGACAAAGATCTGACATTACCTGTGAACTACAGTGAAATTCGTGGCATCTGGTCGCGTTCCTACCAGGGTTTGGGGAAGATTTCTTTTCATCCTTTCCCAAACCATTAAATGTAATTTTTAAAAGTCTAATTGAGAGGGAAGGAGTTAGAAATGGTGGAAAGGAGAGAGAGAGAGGGATGGAGAGAGAGAGGGAGAGAGAGAGAGAGAGAGAGAGAGAGAGAGAAAGAGAGAGAGAGAGAGAGAGAGAGAGATTTCCATCTGATGCTTCACTTCCCAATTGGTCTTAAGGCCAAGGCAAGACAGGGCTGAAGCCAGGAGTCCTAGAACTCCATCCTGATATCCCATGTGGGTGATAGGAGCCCAAGCACTTGGACCATTCACTGTTATTTTCTCATTGATGAAGGACTTCATATTCTTGGTACTTGAGTCAGTTCACTGTGCACTGGTGTTTTGGTGTCCTGAAGTCTATACATTGTTAGTGGCCCAATTTCTCTTGAAAACCTGAAACTTGAAATGTTAAGTGAGGAGAAGAGATGTGGACACAGGCAGAGGAGACACTCAAAGAGGTAATTAATCTCCTTCTTCTTTTACTTTTACCTCCCTGAAATCCAAGCATTTCTCCTATTTTATAATATTAAACAGAAAGATTGTTAGGTTTTAAGTTCCAATCCATCACAAATTCATTAACAGTGAAAGTCTAAGTCAAAAAGCTGTTTACCAAATGATTGGTTATCCTGGTTCACCTGTCAAGCCATGTTATTATTGTGCTCATTTAATTTTCATCATATCATATGAAATACTAATGATCTCTTAGTACTTTTTTTTTGTAAGTGTAACTGTGCCCATGATTTTTACATAAGGCAATGATGTGGTTTCTATCTCCCCCTTGCTGTTACTAGAGTCTTTTTAAGTATTTGCAATGTTCTTTTTATTAAGATAAAAATGACTTCAATTATGCATTACACATGTTTCCCAGGCTGTTTTTAATAACTCTGAAGATACTAGTGCTACTGACAAGAGAAGATTACTCTCAGCGATGCACAGCCCGTCGAGCAGGAGCCTCCGTCCTCGGTGCTATCGCTGCGGAGCTGTTGGTAGTAGGGCACAGGCCACCATTTCTTATTATCTTCAGGGACAAGTTTCAGATTTTTTCCTTCCTGCAGCTCAGCATCCTATGTTTTCTTGAATTCCAGTCTCCTAAAATGTAAGCAGCAAAACACATGCTCACTCATCAGAATAGTAGTCCGCAAATGCCTTTAAAACCAAATCAGCCACCATTCATGGGGAGTGGTTTTTCTGTTTATGAATCAAGTGAACAGTATTGCAGTGGAAATTAGCAGGGTGGGGATGGGATGCTGAACTCTGGATGACATTCAGGCTTGAGAACTTACTGTTGACTGCCCTGTCTCCCCCACCTCTCCCTGTCTCCCAGCATCCAACATTCACAGTCAGAAGCTAGCTCTGTGTACTATGGAGGGACTTCAGCAGAGGTGTCAGGGGGCCTCAGTCCTGATCCCGGGCTATGGATGTCTGTGCTTCCTCCACCTTCCAGCTTTCCCTCCTGTCTTCCCAGACTTGGCGTCCTTGTACACTGAACCTCAGTTGTCTCTGGCTTATGTTTGATGTATTGCCCCATCCACCCACCCTTCTTTGCCTATAAAGCTACCTCTCTCCTCCCGGCAGACTGAACGTTCAAAGTAGAGCTGCCTTCCGACACCCAGTGCATCACAATTCTCACACAGAGATCCTCAGTAAGGCTGTGCCAGTGCCTCTCCTGTCAGTTTGTTCATTCTGGCCACTGCGGAAGGTTTACTTAGTGGCAGTCAACAAAAATGATGAGGTTTTGTAAAAATGAAGTGCTAGTAAAGGAATTAGGCCAACATACACAGCCTGTCAGATGAGAGTAAGTACCCAGAATGTTCTGAGAAGTCCTCTCCTATGAGCTGATAAAGCTACCACCATTCTTGCTTCATCCTATTTCACTTTAGATCACAAAAGATTAATACATACACATCTATACTCTCAGAAAATGGCTTATTAACTTTAAAATCTCCTATAGTCACCTGCACTCTGATTTCTACATGGTAATTAATAGTACTAAAATGAATACCAAGGGTGATTCTAAAAGGATTGATTTATGAAAAAGAAAAACAACTTTGATTGAAAGCTGGTGAATAAAATTGCATTTGAGACCCGAGTTCTTTCTCCTTGCGAGCTTGTTAGAGAGGCTTAATACCAGGCAACATGTCATGGGCTAAAATATCCAGTCCTGCCATTTCTGGGCCTGGTATGCAGTTGATAGGGTCATGGGATTGATGCCCAAGGACGACTTAGGGGAAGCCATCCCATTAGGTAGTCAGGTTCTTTAAATCTGGACCCCTGTAGCTCTCTGTCAACAAGCTTTTATTTCCCTGTGTCTTTGTTTTTCTCTTTCTAAAAAAATGTAGTCCATTTTCTGGCAGAGTTCTCTAGAATTGCCCGTGTACCCTGCCTGGTGTTTAGCTATTTGTACCTTGGGTGTGTGGGGTTCCTGGGTCTCTTGTGGCTGGCTGGTCACGAAGTGAAGCACCTCCTGGGCAGATGGGGACTGCCTGGACTGTTGTAGCAGACCCCTCTGGGGGCCGCTTCCAGCTGCAGTCATTCTCCCAAACCTCTGGGGCAGGTTGGGGACTCGTCTCCAGCTGCTCGCCTCCATGTTTCTCCCAAATCTCAGAGGCAGGCTGGCCACTGACCCAGGCCGCCTTTTTTGGTCCATGGTTCTTCCGAATCTCAAAGGCAAGTTGGCTGCTCCATGTGGCATTTTGTTGACTGTGGGACTGTTCATCTTGATGGCATCTTTTGGCCCCCGATCTTTTAGCTCTTCCAGATGGAGGTTTCTTTCCTTTACCCCTCTCAGGCATTCCCTAGGCTATAATTAGAATTGACCATTAATATAATTTATTCTTGAGATAAGCGATAGATTTAAGCCCCAGATGAATTTGACTTCAGACTTTAATCTCATAGAATTGTTAGAGCCATAAACAAAGTTTGTGTTCTTATGTGCAATTTTTTTAATAAATAATTTGTATTAAGTTTCTTAAAGCAATCTAGTTTCTCTGTCCCTAGACTATTGCAAGACAACTATGAAATATTAATAAAATATATATAGTGAATAGAGCAATATGTTTGAGCAGCAGGAACATAATGAAGTATTGAAACGAGGCAAAAAAAGTTTGGTTTACTGCAGTTATTCCCTTTCAGTTTTTTTGATTCATGTTGTTATAAAATATTTTATGTATTTTTACATTTTGATTTTAAAGAAAGCATTCACCCCTATTCCATGTCTTTTGTTTCATTCCTATTTACTCTCCAAAGTGCACATGGAAATGAGGTACCCACAAACAGATGCCAGCTAGGTAGGTACTGGGGTTGGAGGAATCCCCACTGAATTTCTTTTTCACCCTTTTACACTCCAAAAGCATTCCTCAAGAAACCAATTGTATTTTTATTAGAATATAAACTACATGTTTAGTAAAGAACCAATTCGTTTTTGGGTTGCTGCACCACAAATATATCAACTTTATAGGAGCCATGGAAAATATAAGCAGTGAATATTTAATTAGATTTAGTTTTATCATGGAAGTCTGTCTATAGAAAGATTTTTAAATTATTGCTTTCCCTTTGTAACTTGAGTAGAATGAGTAATACGCACTAATTTCAGCCAATTTGGAAATACATACACACATAAAGAAAATAAAACTAACTTGCAGTTCCACCCTCTGGAGCTTAACATTTTACTTGGATGTGAATTTGCCACAAATTTCCCAGCTTAGAATTGCTAGTTACAAACTGTGAAGGTATTTTTTGTTTGTAGTTTGAGAGGACTCCTATGTCCAGCTAAATGCATCCAGATCTTGGTCCTGTAACTAGGAGTATGAACTTCTAAGTAAAAGAAAATCATCATTCTACCTTATGCTTGCCAGGCATTGTAATCGAACAGGTCATAGCCTCTACAAACTGTTTCTGGTGAGGCCAGGCTCTCGGCTTTTGTGTCAGCCAATGCAAGTTAACATCAATACGCTGTTGTAGGAGGGCTGGCATTCATAGGAGAAGCACAAACTAACATACTTTTCTCTTTTTACCAAAAAAATCAGACTTAGGACAAATAGAACCAATGCTAACCATGTTCAGTAGATTTAAAAAAACTTACCCCAGAATATTTGCTGTAGTTTTCTCTGAGTTCATCTGTGCAAAAGATATTTGAGGTCAACAAACCTGAAATGGCTAAAATCAACAAAATGAATCGTTTTGATGAAATAATTTCCATTTTGTCCAACTTAAAATTATGTGCCCAATGTCTATGGGTAGGGACCTTGGGTTTTTATACTATCTAAAATCAAAACAACGTTTCCTTTACCAGTGAAATCACTCATTCAGGTTTTAAGTATGACTATTAATTAGAGTGTGTAACTAAAGCATACATGCGAGGAATGCAAGCTATTCATTCCGGAAAGGTGGAAATGTTTTTGCTTGCAAATTCATAAATGATGAAAATAATTTTCCTCACCATGAAAGAGCTTCTAATTAGGGAAGTTCGGGTGACAGTAATTAAGATTCCAAACAAACAGGATGCCTCATTTCTTTGAGCCTCAACAAATGTATTTTATTTTTGACATTTGTGTCAGTTTTTGAAGGAAGTGAGAAAGAGTTCACGCTATTTTTTTTTTTAAATTCACACAAAAGAGTAAGGCATAGTATTTTCAAAATGTCAAACAAAATTAAGAATGTGAAAAGCATTATACATCACATAACACCCCAATAAAATGCCATGCATTAAGGTGGTTTTTTTTTTTTGTTTTTTTTTTTTGTCAAATGCTGCTTGGTCATGAGAAAGGTTTAGGAGTCAATGTCAGCTGCAATGTGAAGGATAGACAGAACACTGACTAGTCCACAGACACCTTGACAGACTGGCCCTCTCCAGAGAGCAGGCAGTCCAGGTCTGCTGTATTTGGCAGAATCTGCACTCTGATTAACCAGGCATCCTGTCAATTCCTCAGTGTCCTCAAGAACCCTTACAGAGGCTTGATAGCTCATACACTTGCTCTTTTTGTGCTCCCAGGATCCATAGTATTGAGATAATCTCACATTGCCACAGGCCTACCAACATTAAAGCAGTTAAAAAAAAAAAGGAATTGACAGAAATAAATACATTATTTGTTGAAATGCTAAAGCAACTATCTTTGAAAATGACTAAAGGGTATGTGGATACTTCAGAAAGTCTGGATAATGCAGGTAAGATCAATTTATTTTGCTGTGAAGGTTTGATGTTCATGCATAGTTTTTAAACAAACACTTTCCATGAACCTTTTGTTCTCTTCCTTTTTTTTTTTTAAATTTATTTGTTATTTTTGTTGCAAAGTCAGATATTATACAGAGAGGAGGAGAGACAGAGAGGAAGATCTTCCGTCCAATGATTCACTCACCAAGTGACTGCAATGGTCAGTGCTGCACCGATCCAAAGCCAGGAGCCTGGAGGTCTCCCACACAGGTGCAGGGTCCCAAGGCTTTGGGCTGTCCTTGACTGCTTTCCCAGGCCACAAGCAGGAGGCTGGATGGGAAGTGGAGCTGCCGGGATTAGAACTGGTGCTCATATGGGATCCCGGTGCGTTCAAGGCAAGGACTTAAGTCGCTAGGCCACAGTGCTGGGCCTTCTCCCATGTTTTCTTAAAGGCCTGCATTTGCACTGGCCTGATCAGGTTGCAGCCATCACGACTAGTTCCCTTCAGTCTCCTCGAGGGAAAAAGGTCTTCTATGGCTTGCCAACATCCCAACTTCCGCTGAGCAGGTACTTAGGGGTGAATTTTTAAAAAACAAATGAGAAAATTTTACCTTTATATCTGGCATCATGCCACTCTCATCAATTTACTGTGCATAATGCCAGAGTACTTCAGAAAGCTCACGGAAAATGGAATTTAAAAAGTTTATTTTGGTGTAGTTTTTTTTGAAATTCATACATAATTTTTCTCCCCATAATGTGCATTTCCATGAACCTTTTGGATCTATATATATGGACTTCAATAAGAATTTTTTGCATCAAAATAAACATTTTTACATTCATTTCTTTTTTTTTAAAGATTTATTTTTTATTTTTATTGGAAACGCGGATATACAGAGAGGAGAGACAGAGAGGAAGATCTTACTTCCTATGAGTCACTCCCCAGGTGGCCGCAACGGCTGATGCTATGCCGATCCGAAGCCAGGAGCCGCTTCCGGGTTTCCCATACGGGTGAAGGGCCCCAAAGCTTTGGGCCGTCCTCGACTGCTTTCCCGGGCCACAGGCAGGGAGCTGGATGGGAAGTGGGGCTGCCGGGAAATTAGAACCCGCGCCCATATGGGATCCCGGGCATACAAGGTGGGACCTTAACCACTGTGCCATCGCACCGGGCCCTTTTTACATTCATTTCTCACAAGTTTCTTTTTAACTCTTTTTTTTGTTTGTTTTTAAATCTTGCAACATCTACATGAAGAGAATACTTAATTTTCCTTTATTTATTTGGAAAGCAGAGAAATAGAGCAATGAGAGACTGGATGGTAGTTCTTCCCTTCTCCTTCCCCAATACACACACACACATGTGGGCCTCCCATAATTATATCCAATCTCCCAAATACCCACAATAGGCTAAGCTTGACCAGGCAGAAGCCAGGAGCTGTGAACTATATCTGATTTGCTCAAGTAAGAGGTAGGGTCCTTGCACTTGAGCCTCCCAGCTGCATCTCAGAGTAAGTATTAGTAAGAAGCTAGATCAGCAGCAAAGTAGCAGGGGGGCTTGAACTGGGCCCTTTCATAGATGTGGAAACCCCAAGTGGTGTCTTAACCACTGTGCCAAATGCCTGTCCTTTGAAGTGCCCTGGTGTGAGAAGGCAGAAGCAAAATATTGAAAGCCATCAGTGGATAAATTCTGGTCGTGCCTTCTCATCACACTGGGCCTCTGTTGAGGGCTTTGACTTCATCAACTTTATTTGTCCTGATTTGTGGTAGCCAAGAATCCCCATAGCAGGAGGCAATGAATTCAATTCATAGTCCAGCGTTAATTTTATATTGCTATTATTGGATTATTTAGGTTTAATTTCCCTAAGGATACAGTGCATTTCTCTTCCAAATTGTTCTGTTGCAAACTGCTGATGGAACTTCCTTTGTTTTGTGGTCAGTAGATCCCAACTTTTGAGAAATCGAGGAGAGGGGCAAGTTTTGTTGACCAAGTTCACACCCCAGAAAAAAAGCAGAAGGCATTATCCTGGAACTCCTAGAGTGTCTAGCTTTGTGTCTAGTTGTCACTTTCAAATAATAGAAGACTTCAACAGTTCACCGGTTTCCAGTGTGGCTGTTGGGGGTGTGGGCACATCAGTCAGAGTTCTGATTCTGGTGGGCATCTTGAATAGTTGATGTGACTGATGGCCCTCCACCTCCTCTAGTTTGGTTTTGAAAGCTTTGAGTGTAGCTGGAGCTACCTTGTTAGTACACACACTCACAGATAAAGAACATTACCTGATACACATAGTGTGAAATCACCCTGAAGCTTTCAAGGAACTGCATCATATCAAGGAACTGCCAGTGCAAAGCTGGGCGGTTGATTTCTGGGATATTTATGAGACTGCTGTGGACTTCCTATTGCAACTCAACAGTGGTGAAACCACTGAACACCGTTGAAGCCCCCTTAGCTACTGCTGGCAGCAGAGCACAGGATCAGAAAGAGGCAAAGGGAAGTGCACTTGACCATGGAGGAGGAGACACCCCTCCGAGACCTCCTACTAACAAAGCCTAAAATTGCATCTCCAGTAAAGCAGAAATGCTTACACACCTGTTTCCACAAACTCACTGAATTGAAGCTGAGTGAGTAACTATAACCGGAGTGGCTACTAGCATGTATCCGCTTACCTAATCCTTCAGAAGATCCTTGACTATGTTCTTCTCTTTTCTTCCGCATCCTATTCTGTGCTGATTTAGGTTGTTTCTAGTTTAATACGCAATCATAATTGGGAAGTAATGGGAACTGTTCCTAGCACTTTGCTCCTTTGCAGAGGAGTTTTCAGTAATATTCATTGTACTTTTGTCTCTTCTTTTGCTCTTGGTCATTGTACTTCTGGTTAGCAGAGTCTTCTCCTTGGGGTAGGTTTCTAAGCTTTGTCACACACAAGTCTACAATGCAATTTTACTTATTGCAGTTGGTACACAACTCTTTGCTTGCAGCCACTTGTGCCACAACCTCCAGCGAGTTCCAGGTCTGGGTTCTTATGTTAGATTTCCACCGTGGTCTCCACAGCTCCAGCTCTTGGCTCACCACTCTCCACCTCCTGTGATATCATGCTGAGGCTGCACTGTTGTCTCTGCAACCTTTCTCCCACTTCCAGTTGGAGCAGGTCCCAGGATTAGAGAGACACCAGGTGTCCTATATAGTTAGGTTGTTGGTGGCACAGATCTTGTCGGAACCTGTTGGATGTTAGGTCTGGGTGCCATATGGACCTATTTTGACACGTACGATGCCATAGTTGGTATTATTTTCCTGCAGGACCAGTGCAATCCACAGAACTCAGTGAGTTTTTGCGAGCTCAGCACATGCGCAGTTTACTGTTGTCCCTGCAGTTCTAAAGCTATTGCCACAGTGTACAAAATGACGCCTGACGTACCACTACTAGAGTTCTTGATCTGCTGGCGGTCAGGTTTTAGAGCTACCCAGACCTCTCTTGGGTGGAACCTGTAGAATGCCACGTTGCTGCAGTTCACTGAGTCAAAATGAGTTCTCTCCCAGCTCTGTGTTTGCTCAGTCCTTTCCCTTGCCTTTGCCTCCTTATGCAAAATGGCCCCCAATTCAGCTCTAGGGGGCTGACCAGGCTGTGAAATCCACTCTGTTCTCGCACTGTCCATCTGGGATCTGCTGCTCTGTCTCTGCTTCTGGTCAAATCAAAAGGAGCAGCCGGACGGACAGTTCTTGTCTGGGTTTTCCTCCCAAGATCGCAGTGAAAGTCCCTTCCCACCTGGTTGCTGGTGGAGTTCTGGCTGCTGGTGGAGTTCAGATCACCGTTAGCTGAATGTCAATGGAGTATCAGTCACTGCAACACCACACCGTTGTGTCTGCTGTTTTCCTGTGTCTGTTAGTCTCTGCTGTTGTTCTGTCCTTTCCTATTTCCTGGAATATGTCCTCTCTGCTTCAACCTGATTAAATGTTTCTCCATCCGTTTAAATGTGTCCTTACCCTATTCCGCCATCTTGATTCTCCCCACAATAAAATATTTTAAATATGGCTGTATTGGGGCCAGGAGCTGCAAAAT